TTATCACGTGTTGGGTATGTCACGCGACAAATAACTTTACGTGGGTCTCGGATTTAGCGGATCTTTATTCGACTCTCACTCTTACACACCTTCCATTTATCACCACTTGCAGTATTACTTGACTTCTGGGCCAATACCCCAATGCGACGTCTCAACTATCCTTGGCCGTGGTTGGATCTCAACTGTCTCTGGCGGCGTCTATCCCAAGATTGTCTCGTTCTCAATACTCAATATTCTAATATTCTGATACTCCAATCTCTGTACGTGTCGTAAGCTCTGCTTATATGGGGGTTATGCGGACTGGATACCGGGCATCATTCCTCAGGGTTCCGTTGCCGCTGTTCAGCAATCCGTTGCTTCGGGAACGCTCTTTATAGATTACACCGCTAGCGTGTTTCGTCTCATCCGTTGTTACTCAACAACAATTCGTTGCTACGATTTGTCGCTGCGGGAGTTCCACAATTTCCACGTATTCGTTGTCGTGGAAGTGTCAGTTTCGACTGCAGCGGCTGTCGCGGTGATGGACGTAAGGTAACGGGTCACAATATGAATACAAGAATTCTTAAATCGTGGGGCTTGAAGATATAAAACTTTCGCAGTAAGTAATTAAAAGTAAAGCTAACACTGTACCAGGCCGTGAAGGCCTATAGGGTTGTGAGACGTTGAAGGTCCCACGTTNTCTCTTGACAATCGCCTCAAAGATGGCGGTAAGGTTGTCAGCCTTACGCGCCGGCCGCGCTTTACTCCCCAGGAAAATTATATAATTAATTTCTGGTACTCATTTTTGTTAGAGGCTGAGTCGACCCCAGGGCTATTGTGCGGCTGGAAGGATTAGGTCAATTGAAAAAAAATCCAATGACCTCATCGGGAATGAACCCGCGACCTTCCGGCTTGTAGCATAGCCCCTCAACCAACTACGCTACCGCGTGTCCCCAAAACTTCCGCAGTTCCAAAAAAAAAAAAAAAAGTATTCGTTTTATTGGCACATTTCTGGGCGTCACTCGTATCTATGCGTTTGAAACAGAACGTAACAAAAATAAATTTACTTTTTCTGAGCCTTCTTGTTCGATTTACATCATTATAGGAGAATTATAACCAAATAAAACGTTTAAACAAAATACGAATACCAAACTTTTGCCATGTTATATCTGAAGATGTCCACAAATTGAATTTGAAATATAAAAACCTACTTACCTAATTTTGAAAACTACATTCTACTATCGAAAGATGGAATAATCAGATAAATTAACTTACGAGGTTACAATCACGAACTGACAAGTGATCCGTTCGTGTATGCGCTTCAATAGGCGAATTCACATTAAACGCAGGTTTTCTCACAGACACGTCCTCCGATCTCTCAGACGAATGATCAGAACACCTGCGCTAGCTGCACTCTAAAGCAGGGGCAGAACTCTTCAGCTGGAGGAACGCAGCCGCGAAACTTTAAGACAAAATTTTATCACCACCGGAAACATTACGCTTACCTAAACGTCTAAAGCATCCAGTATGCGGACCATAGTCTCCTCACTCATGCTCTAACGTCACCGAAGTGAAACGTGTCACTTACAAACAAGGACTGAAATGTTATGTGCCAGGATGTGACTAAAATTAAACATATAGCGTACAGGAACGTTTTTCAGATTATGTTAACAGTATTCATAGTATTACCACAATAAACTGCCGAGAATATCACACGCATACATTTTCATCATTCTCACTGAGAACCGTTACCTGTGAATGCTAATTTTTTTTCGAATAGAATCAGAGTAATCTAGACAGATATAAAATTGATCGTTGTTCATTTACATTATAAGATCATTACGAAATAAACTGCTTATATTTTCCAAGTTCTTCTTTACTCCATGGGGTCCAGACATTTGCTTTCGCGTTCCAGTAGTTACGAGGCACAAACAGTTTGAGAACCCTCAGCGTACAGCTTTTCACTAAAATTCTAAAGAAAATTTCATATCATAACAAGCAGCGAAGTGAGCAGCATCAATTGCATATTATTATTTTTATTTGTAAACAGCTTTAATGCCTTACAAACTGTGAAACTGGCGGAATATCTTGTTACGCCTTGTCATTTACATGCTTTCTTCTTCAAAAAGAGAATATAAATTAATAATTTTAAAACTCTAATATTTAAGTACAATATGACTCAACATTTGATAAAATTCATTCAACCAGATAACATACGTCACACAGGTAAAGGTAAAGTTTTCCCTGTGCTTAATTAATTAGGGACAACGCCATGAAGACGTATGGGGGAGCGACGGTGTAACTCCACCTTTCTTGACCACGGCACTAGATAGGAGTGGTGAGCTTCACGCCCCTCTCGCTCTACTTCGGGGGAAGAAGCCTCCGGTACCCATTGAAAAGGAGCCTGGGAAGGCCACAGGGCCAGTCTGGACGCTATGAAAATCTTGCTCCTGCAGGGATTTGAACGCCGGCCGTCCAGCCCGTTACTATACCGACTGAGCTAACAGGCTCTGACCAAGTGTGGGTACAAGAACGAAGTGTACGGGTGAATACGCAGTTTACGAAAAGCATCTGCCAAACATCAATAAGCAGTCCTTACCTTCAGAAGCCCCACTTTCTGACTACTGGTGTGTACATAAAAATTAAGAACGTGTTACAGTAGACATGCTGTTTCAACAAATGTTCGCAATATACCTCTAATATAACCTAGCTGCAAACAGCGATTTATAAAGCGCGTTAAAGCCTACATATTATTGCCAACCACACAAACACACCATGTTTGTCTTACTGACTTAACTATCGGGCTGTTTGCCGCAGCTCGAATCCCATCAGGGTAGCGGAAACTATCTTTTGTCGTCCCGTTGTTTTATTTTCTCGATATGTGGTTCATGCCACGCAGAATATGAGACGGGTGTGCACATAAATTTCCACACAAGACTATAAACATCCAATTTATTACAGTAAACATACCTCAAATTAACGATGTAAGCGCAACTGCCACTTGTGAAAATGTCATGGCAAACAGTGACTTCGGAAAGTGAACGATAAAGTCATGTTTCTTCCAATCTTCCAGGACTTATGAGATTTCGCGAGCCTTGGGGATCACTGTTCCACACACATGGTCAAGAAAGCAAAGGACCTAAGAATCAAGAGTCACTACATCCTTTATAAAATTATTATGCCGACTAAGTAAGTTAAAAAGTAAAGGCAAAAAGCTATCCCTGTAACAGGCCGTAGTCCCATAGGGTTGTGAGACGTCGAGGCTCCCATATTTTTTAGACATTCGGCTCATAGATGGCGGTAATGTTGGCAGCCTTAAGCGACGGCTGCCCTTCACCACCAGGAAGATTCCTGGTACTTATTTCTGTTGGAAGCGATGTTATTCAAGAGGACGTAGGATACGAAGGAATACCGCAGTTCGACTATCAGGAGTACAGCAATTTTTATTTTTTCCGAAACCTGCTTTCCTCAAATATCAAAGCGTTTCTTCCATCGTTAGAGCGAACAGCGGGATAACAAGCTCAAACAGGCCACCGCAACTGTCACTCACATCCTCGCTGTGTAACATTCACGTTATAACACACTGGTAGTTGACATAGCACTGTTACAGAAAAATTCGTGAACATTTAAACCGTAATAAGTAAATAATTTGTAACGTGAAAACCTTAATCCGAGAATACTATCCAATAGGACATGTGCCTTGGCAATGACTGATATGACCTGTGAGAGCCCTTCATAGACTTAGACAAACAGGAAGCGCGTGCGCATCTATACACCTGTCTGCATAATCTAAGAAGAACCATTACGAGTAAAGCTGACATAAATAATTTAGCTCCACAACATATATCACACTTCTCTTTTACATTCTCCTTACAGAATAATTTTGAATGACATATACTTGTACATTTGGAATATATTGTATTAGAACAAAATGGCTCCACATCACCGAAACAGAAGTCACCGCTGAACCCAATCCTAAGTTAATTGAACCAAACCCATGTGGACAGTCCACTTCCCTCAAAACCGTTTTAATATTATCATCCTATTTTCATCTTCATTAAAAGTGGCTAATTCAACGAAGTTTCCCTGCTGAAAACACGTATGCCTCCTTCGATTTTTCCAGTCGATAGCGGCCATCTTGTTTTAAAAACCAGACTGACTTCGGGGAGGGGGATAACTTCCAGTTCCCATAGAATCATAGTCAAAGTAACATTTCGGCAGAACCGTAAACAATCTTGTTCATATCGTCTTGTAATTTTATGCAAATTACATCAATAACTGTGAACACAGACTACGAGACCCTGTCCTTTATTCAGAGACAACCACCATAGCATCGTTGTGTACAATACTATGGTAATGTAACATCACAAAGTGTAGACTTCCCATTTCTACAACGTCATTTATTTTCAGTGTCAGAGTGGCCTGTGAAAACAATGCATTGGCAGCTCGTAAACCTCATCGCACTGACTCTTGACAGATAAAATACAACTTCTTTTGTAATCTAAAAATCATCTCTTGAAGGAACCTTTTCAAACTGTGACTGACAGATGACCCAGTCTGTGAAAGTTGCCTACAAGAAGACGAATCAGCCACTGACTGTGACTGTGAGGCCATAGCTTATTTAGATTTCATCACCTGGGTCAGTTCTTCATGGAACCAAGTGACTTTTATGGCGCCCCCGTAAATATAGGCCTACATTTCATTCGAAGTATAGGATTAATAAAGGGTTAATCCAAAGGGGAAGCACAATAGACCACTGAAGGTCGCAGTGCAAGGGCCGGATTTTAGGGCCCACCCCTTACACACATACATATATCTCTTGAGGGCACAGCCATAAATCATTTCTTCAAAATTGATTCTTTTGGTCCCATAATTGAAATTTCTGGCTCCTTGTTCGCTAGTGCACCTCTTTTCCTCATCTAACCTTAGAGATACATCAGAAGACTGGAACACAGGCTGCCAGAGCACGTCACTACTATGACACTAAATACGCAAATCGTTATACAAAATCCAAAACATACCCGCCTACTTCTATGCAAAGTACATTTACCTATCAGAATAATAGGCCCAACTGACGTGACGAATAGAACAGGCCCTCATCTTTCATTCCTAAGTGAACGGTAGACCGTCAGGGTTCACCGTTTTCATTGAGGTAACACAACAGTTCATTAATCTGAAGCTGATACAGTCAAAACAACGCGTTTATCAACCTTACGGGAACTACAAGTACGAAATTCGTTTTGCCGAAGGAAAACGATTTTGCTTGTCACGTTTCGTGTATCTTGTGTAACGGGAATGCAATTCGAACGAATAAAACACAACTTTGAATACACGAGTGGAGCACCTAGCATGTTTTTAGTCGCAACGCAAAGTTGTCCTTGTTCTTAATATTCATTTCTTTAGAGGTTGAAAGGATTAGGTAAACTGAAAAAAAAATTACGATGGTTTCTTCTGGATTCGAACCCGAGACCAAAGGGGAGTGGAGGTATACCCCCAAGCATCCTTAGTCTGGACACTATATGGAGATAGTAAGCTTCACACCCAAGAAGCTTTATTCTGGGAGCTATGATCCTAGTAACCACTGGACACCAGAGCCGGTATAGAAGCTGGTGAGAAAAATCCATGTCCCTGCAAGGAATTCATTTCTCGGTTGTACAAATTGTAAACTACTGACTAAGCCATCCCGTCTTAAATGCTTGCAGCAGAGAATATCCTCGAATTAAAGGACTAATCGGGGGCGGGAATGTCCGATACTGCCGAATGTCCGTTAAATCCAAATGCACGTATTCCTCACAAACATGTGAGACGGACACTCTCGATTCTAATTTTTCAGTCAAGTCTAACTTGTTTTAAACTCAAATTTGTCCTTTGACTGTTTTTGCCCATGAGGTATTAATTTAAAAAATATTAACACAGAACAAACCAAATACAACACAACACAAATTTAATCTGCGCTAGAATGATCTGTGTACTAAACGTTACACTTCGCAGCATGATTGACGAAGTACACAGACACAACATAATATCCGGACCATTAGGGGGAAGTACCGAAGAATAACGGGAAAGCACCGAAGAATTTTGTCCGTTAAATTAAGAATTCACTGTATTACAGTTTTAAACGGGTCGATGTGCGTGGGAAGAGGTCAAACGTAAATAACAATTAGATAAAAAATAACTCGACCTTTTTTCGTAAAATAAAAAACACAAAACCAACGACGTCGTCACAATACAGTTAGTTAAAGGGAAATTTAAGCGGCCTCCGTAGTCTAGGGGTAACGTTCCCACCTCATGACTCAAGGTACGCGGGTTCAAACCCGGAGGAGGTCGTGGAATTTTTAAGGGCGGAAAAATTCATGGAATAAGAGACTTTAAGCCGTGGGTCCCGTGTCGTAGATTTACGGCACGTAAAAGATCCTCATGTCTCTAGGAGACCTCTGAGCAAAATTAGGCAAAATGTTTCCCGCCCAAGTAGTTTCCAATGCCTCCGTTAGAGGGGGAAGTATCTAGATACTGCTGAGCCAGTAGAGGCCGAACTCGCTGGCTGAGTCGGGACTGATGGCACGCACCAGTATCGGTAGGGTATAGAGACTGGTAGAATATCACAGGGGGACGTACAATAGACCACTGGCCGCGGTGCATGGGGAAACCCACTCCCTCCAATAATAATAATAATAATAATAAAGGGAAATTTTAAAAGGTAGTTTCTCTTGGCTCGAAGGTGCCGTGTTTTGAATACAGTAGCCTGCTATTAGACGTTTATAACAGAGAATTTTAAGAATGGCATATAACTGTTACTGTTAAATTACCTCGAAAACCGAATACCTTCGGAAGAAGTGTACTGTGCTTCATTTTCCTCCTAAGCTTAATTCCCTTCCTTCCGATGGACATTTGGAGAGCTATGCTCGAAACGTGAAGTGATATGCATGTTGAACCTTCATGCAAAGTGTCTATTATTTTGGTCCGTTTAACCAAAAGTTGAATGCGTTGACAAATTTTAGCAAAACTCTCCAATACAAAATGTAATGAAATTCTGTTCAGGGGTTCCAGAATTGCTACATGCGGACAGATAGAGCAGACATGGCGAAGCTAATACACGCATTTTAGCTATGCCTCTTTGAAAACCAAAAAAAAAAGTCAGTTCTATGAAAAAACTGAGAACTTCCAGAGATCACACTTTCAGTGGCAACATTGCAACATATATGTCATGAATTCTGAAACAACGTAAAACTTCATCATCATTAAACCAATTATAATTGCAGAAACATTTAACGGAAACAAACATCTTTCTTCATTGTCATCGCCGTGAAAACCTCAAAACTTACATCTTACTTGAATGTTTTACTACGGAACAAAATCCGAACCAGAATGATCAACGGCTGTAACACAATCCCCCAAACTGGATGGAAGAATCCCTCGGTAATACTTTACCTGACGGCTGTGGTGAAATAAGACCTCGACGCGTATTCTTGCGACGTCACTTTATTACTCAACGACGTTAACTACAATTCAACGTAACAAATGTTGAACAAGTCGTTTCACAGTTGGTCCTTTCGTGTTAAGAACTCTCACTGGAACGTCAAAGAATATTCCTATGCAGTGTTTTTACACACGAGACGTTTCCAGGCAACGAACCTTCAATAAAGATTATCCAGTTTCCGGGTAACGTCATTACTGCCCGGAAAATAACACGCAACGACTAGTAGAGCAAATGCTATGCAGTCATGGTGTTAGGAATTGAGACTTCTTTCCCATTTAATTCCTTGACTTATGATCCACGACTACATATGAGTTTGCTCTACTAGTCGTTGCCTGTTATTTGCCGGGCAGTAACGACATTACAGTGACAGCTCAGGTACCATTGCTTAGCAACGGCGAGTAAACAGTCGTTGCTACGTAAGGTCTACAACAATATGTGACGTGTGCTAGCCAATCGCAAGCTAGAAACCATTCGCTGCCTAGCAACAGAGCACGGACCACGGAGCACGGAGAGATGGACAGTTCGACATTCTAGTGAGAGTTGACACGAAAGGACCGACTGTGAAACGACTTGTTCAACATTTTGTGTTACAGTTATGCTGAACTGTAGTTACGTCGTTGAGTAACAAAGTGACGAAGCAAGAATAAGCCTCGAGGTCTTATTTCACGACACATGGATTATATGTCAAGGAATTAAAAGGGAAAGATGTCTCAATTCCTCACATCCTCCCCACCCTGGTCAATTTAAAAACGAATGACCAGCTGCACTGGAAGACTGATTCTTGTTGTGTCCGGTTGTCGAAGGATAACAATTCGGATCAGGTTGTCTCTTCCTGGACATAGTTCAATCCTAGCCTTCTTCCACACGTGCCTTGACTGTTTTTCTTCTTGCAAGATAACGGTATCTCCTACTTTGAATTTAGGTCCTTGTCGGGGTGGTCTCATAACCTCGTGGTAGTTCCTCAATTGTAGGAGGTACCCCAAAGATCCTGAGTAAGCTTCTGACTTTGCCGGAATGCCTTGGTCAGCATTTTTGTCCCTGTTGGTTCTGGGTCGTTTGGGAGGGTTGTCAGTTTCCCACCGTTGAGAAAATGTGAAGGTGTCAAAGTCTCGTTGTTGTCATCTTGGATTATGGATCGCGAGTTCAGTGCGGCTTCAATACTTGTTAAGAGGGTACAAAGTCCTTCCGTGTCCACCTGGGAACGCCCTAAAACCTTCCGTAAACAGCGCTCAGTCGAACCTATCATCCGTCCCCACAAGCCTCCCCACCAAGCGGCACGTGCTACAATAAATTTCCAACGTATGCCGTTCTGCGAAGAAGTGTCGGCGTGTTTTAACGGTAGAAAGGGATGTCCAGAGTTCGATCAATTCCCTATTTGCCGCGTGAAAAGCCTGAGCGTTATCTGTGTAGATTATGTGCGGCAGGCCACGTCTGCTTGTGAATCTCTGAAGTGCTAAGAGGAACTTATCGGTTGTCATGTCCATACAGAGTTCCAGGTGTATGGTTCGTGTTGTCGCACAAGTGAAAAGAGTAATATAACATTTGCTTGAGCCATCTCCTACCTTGATACAGAGTGGTCCCGCACAATCAATGCCGGTAACACCGAATGACTTAAGGGGTATTATCCTTTCCGCTGGTAATGGTGCTTCGATTTGTTGTTCTGACGTAACGCACAAGGGGCGTGCTTCATGCTCGACAGTCCCTCCGTAATGCACACGAGGCGTGCTTCATTCTCGACAGTCCCTATGTAATACAGACGAGGCGTGCTTCATGATTAACAGTCCCTTCGTAATGCACAAGAGGCGTCTCATGCTCGACAGTCCTTACGTAGTACCCATAGCCGCTGTGTAATTCACACCAGAGCTGTTTCATTCCCAGCCGTGTGATGTAATATACACCAAGCATGATGCTAAGTAAAACATGACTGTGTTTTCTTGTGTCTGTTGGAATTCTCAGTATTTTCAACCATCGCTTATTTACTCAGCCGTGTTTATTCATCGTTCTTGACGACTGTCAAACCTCATTAGACTCTAAAATGTCTGAAAAATGCAACCTGACTAACAATTTATGTTAAAATAGGTTAATAATTAAAATTATACTGCATCCTAAAAGTAAAAAGCACACCGTTCATTAAATTGTCACGGCAGGCTTGCTCTGTGCTCTAATCCACAAGTGGGGTGCTGGCGGTGGATTCAATTATAAAAGTAGTGAGTGAACCATGTCACTTTCGCCCTTGCCGTGGAGCGCTTCCTCTATAGCCTTCGGAGTTCGCTATCTGCCATGTCGAGTTGTGAGGGTATCTCCAAGTACGATCTCACAAGCTAATTGATCGTCTGTATGGGGGTCTGTCGAAAGTCAGAAGTCGGAAATGTCGACAGAGCCAAGTTGAAGTCAGCGACCGTGAGCGTGTTTGTTCCTCCCTTCCCTCGAAGTCTTGACGTCTAAATGTGTCGTGAGACAATCTACTACTTTGTGATGGACACAAATTCATTCACGATCACCAAGATTCCGCAATCCTTCTTCCCGGGTTTCGGCACCCCAAAAAATGTCGTGAAATAAGACATCGATGCGTATTTTTGCGACGTCACTTTATTACTCAACGACGTTAACTACAATTCAACGTAACTATAACACAAATGTTGAACAAGTCGTTTCACATTCGGTCCTTTCGTGTTAACAACTCTCACCAGAATGTCAAAGAGTCTAAGTCTCATTTTATGACCGACGGTCAGTCGGCCAGTCTGTCTTGGCATAAAGCACCCATCTGGGGTTTGCGACCA